AGCATTACATGAATGCAACCACAGATGGAAGTCCGAGTTCTGAAGAATAAGTTATAAATTTTTTTTATGTTAATGTAAATATGTAATTAATTTTTTTAGGTGAGCGATATATAAGCTCCTTCGAGGGTTTCTTTACGGTTCTTTACCTCGTCGCTTTTTTTGAACCGTCAGGATATTAAATGTGGTTGTTCTTCAGTTAGTGTATTACTCATTTTCAATATTTAAATAACAACTACATTTTTAGATTTTTTATTTCATTCTTTCCTTAAACAATTGCAAATTTACAATTTTATAATTTAATAATTTAAAAAATAAATAAATAGGGGGGGCGAAACCGGCCGGTCCGGGAACCGGAACCGGTACCGGCCGGCACGGTAACATTTCCGGTTACTCGGGGTGGCGGTACCAAAACCGGCGGTTCCGGAACCGGAACCGTACCGTGTCCACCCCTACGTACGCCTGGTGGTCTCGAGGGTTAAAAACGTGCGCACGGTGGTTTATAGATTAGAAGATTTTGTATTCTAAATAAACGTTATCTTACAATTTTTTAGCTGAAATAGTTATAAAAATTACTCCATATTGAACTAACCACTTCTAATGTTGCTCAATGGATTTATTCAAACACATGATCTCTGTCTTTGTGATAAGCTTGATAAATAGATACTTTGAAAAGTCAATAATGACATCATATTATCTACATCTTGTCCTGCATGAATACTATTATTTACTGAAACAATTCAAAAATATTGTTTATAGAACAAAATAAATAAATATATAAATTACTAAAATAAGTTCCTAAAAAATTAAAGCTAAAAAGTATATGAAATTATAAATAAAAAGAATAAGATTAAGATAGTTTAAATGAAAAGTGTTAAATATTGGGCCATTCAACCCAATTGTTAATGGGTGATTATTTAAATTTTTTCGGCCCAAGCCCAACATGGTAATCCCTAACATATACACCCACCCTATTCAGCTTTACTATTTTTCCAGATTCCATTTCTGCCGCCTAATACCATCACACGATCTATTTTTCTATCTCGTTGTTCTTCCCTTCATTAGTTTTTTTATATAAATTTCTTTCAAATTTTTGCAATTATTTTTCTGAGATTTATTCATAGTTCCGCTCTGGGATACGATCCATATTTTTTCGACAGATTTATAATGTTTTTTTGTGTTATTGTGGGTGGTCTCCGATGATAGACCTATTTTAGATATTTATTGATTTTTTGTAAAAATATCAATAGATATCGTAAAACATGAATAGATATGTACTACATGATCCGAAATGAAATATTATTAATTTTTTAACTGATTCCGAAACCTGTAAATTTGGGTATAATTTTGAGCTTTTTATAAATTTTAAGTTTCATAATTTCAGTACATTTTTGTTAATAATTAGATATTACTTAAGAGGCTTACAACCAGAAAATGGTTTGATCTATTTCTTCCAAAGTGTGTTCCTTTCCAAAGACATGTTTTCTAGCAAGTGAGTTTCATTAATTTCTATTTAAATTGAGATTAAAGATTGAAATTTAGACTATGTATGCTAAAGATTAATTTGTTTTTTATTCCAGGGGTGTGTAATGAAATGAAGTGAAGTAGATCAAGTAAGTTGTTACTATTTGCATTAAAGTGAAGTTGTTGCTATTGGCAGTAAAAGATATACTCATACTCCCTCCGTCCCAAAAAGATTTACACATTTCAAAAAAATTGTGTCTCACAATCTCCTACCCATTTCTATTAAAAAACCATATTTACCCCTTACTTTTTCAAATCCTACCTATCACATGATACCTTTTTCCTAATAATCTACACATCACATCCTACTTTACCCATCACATCAAGGGTATTTTTGGAAAGTCAACACAAAATTATCCCTCCCTTAATTTCAACTTTAGTCAAAACGTGTAAATTTTTTTGGGACGAAGATAGTATGTTTTAAGAGTGAATACTGACACTTTTAATGAAATGCGTAAAAAAATGTTTTTGCTCCATAAAAATACATACCAATGACTAAGACTCCGTTCCGTTCAACTTATTTTTTCTGATCTGGTCTGATATGATCTGATTGGATTTGATGTGATCTGATCTGATCTGATTGGATCTGATTGGATCTGATCTGATTAGATCTGATCTGGTCTGATCTGATTAATTATGATTTAATTTAAAATTTCAAATCAATAATTTAATTTGACTTTATAATAACGTTTGAAAATTGTAATGATAATTCATATTATAATATAATCAATATTTTTTATTTAATGATTCCTTTTTAATAAAATAAAAATAGTTAATTCATATATTAGAATAATCATTCATATTATAATGTAATAATATTTTTTATTTTATGATAATTTTTTTGTAAAATTAGAATTATACATTGCAATAAATATTTAATTTAGATATACATTTAAAAGTAATTAA